TAAGTGCTCAATATAAATTACTAGAGCCCTGGTGCACGAAATTCGTACACAGGGCAAAGGGGAGCGAGGGGTGACCCTCAGCCTGGCCTGCACTCTCTCTCAATCCAGGACTGCTGGCTCCTAACCACTCAACTGCCTGTCTGCCTGATTGCCCATAAACACTCACCTGCCTGCCTGATCACCCCTAACCGCTTCTGTCTTGGTCCCCACACCCGGGACCCAGGCTTCCCTCCTCTGGCCAGCCGCAGGCACCCGGGACCTGGGCTTCCCTCCCTCTGGCCAGCCGTAGGCACCCAGGACCCTGGGCGGCTTCGCCCAGGCTCAGGGTTTGTCAGGAAGGATGTCCAGAATGACATCCAGAAGACCTCCGGTCTATCCAGTCTAATTAGCATATTACCCTTTTATTAGTATAAATGGGCAACAATTCTTTGGCTGCTATATATGTTGCCAACATTTTCCCAATGTTAGCATTAGTTTTTAACTTTATTTTTGGGTGTTATTTATTATATAGAAGTTAATTCTCTTTCCCTTTACTTTCTTAAAAAAAAACAAAACTCTTTAATTTCTGCCATTGACATCATGCTTACAAAGATCTTCACTACCACAAGATTATAAATAAAGATTGGGAATATAATTTACTCTATAACTTTTATAGATTCTTTAATATGTTAACAGTAAACTCTTTAATCAGAAATAATTTTGCTAATAAGTAAGATTTAACTTTATCTTTGCTCTCTTACATGCTATTGTGTAATCTCAACACTTTCAGAAATCCTTTCATCATTGATTCACCTTGATATAAAAAAAGTATATAGTTCCTTACCTGAGATTCTAAAATCATAAAGCTCTGAAAACAAAGAATATTTTGTTTGTTTGTGTTTTTTTAAAGCTTGGTACCAAAATTTATTTAGTAGCAAAGCCTGACCTGAGCTAATTTTGAGGCCATTTCTAGTCTTTATTTATTCAACTTAGTGTCGTTATTAATGTTTTGTGAAAACAACCATGAATTTGACTATGAGATGTTGCTAAAAAAAACCCGAATTCTGAAACATGACTGGCCCCAAACATTTCATATAAGGAGTTGTGAATCTGTACTAGGTTTCCATATATACTCAAACCTGCTTTTAGACTTCCTATTGTAGCTTTACCATTCTAATTTCTTTTATTCTGCATAATATGCTAATTAGACCAGATGGCCTTCCGGATGAAGCCGGGCTATAAGGAAAGCCCAGGTCCTGGGTGCCTGCCTGCGGTTGGAGGGAAGCCTGGGTTCCAGGTGCCAGAGGGAAGCCAGTGCTGGCAGCTGGGGGAAGGAAAGCCTACTCTTGCACAAATTGTGTGCATCGGGCCTCTAGTTAATATAATAAATGACATTGACTTTTGAATGCTAAACCAATCTTGCATTTCTGGGATAAATTCCATTTGGTATAATGTATTATCCTTTTTCTGTTCTGTTAGATTCAACTTGTTAGTATTTTGTTAAGAACTTTTGCATCTGTGTTAATGAATTCTATAATTTTTTTCTTATGCCTGTCAAGGTTACACTGGCCTCTATTTTCTAAGTTTATATGCTCTTTTGTTTTTATGTACTATATTTTATAATGTATGACGATCTTACCTCATCAAATATTAAATCTCATCATTTTTCTTTCTTCACTAGTCTCAAACAATATTTTTCTGAACTTTAGAATTATTTTATCAAATTCCATACAACAATTAATCCCATTGCAATTTTTGTCTGAATTGCATCAAATTTTAGATTAATGTGGGTGAAAGTCATATTGATATATTTACTATATTGACACTTCTCATCAGTCAACATGATGTTTCTCTGTTTATGTGCCTCCAGTGAATTTGGAAGTCATCTTCATATATGTCCGACCCAATTCCTACATATTTTATAATCTCCTTTATTTTTCAATTTTACCCATGTCTATGCTACCATGTTTCATTAGTTCTAATTACCAACTGTGGCTAACTGGCATAGTTTTTTTCTTGGAAGGGATGGAGTACTATCTGGAAGAAAGCAGCTAAATATCACTGTTTCATTAACTTAACAAGCATCTATTTAACTCATATATACCAAGCACTGAATATTCAAACAGCGATAAGACACTATCCCTATCCTCAAAGGTTCGAAATCTAGGGAGGGAAATAAGCAGGGAAACAGGCAAGCATAATATAGCAAGGTAAGTTCTGTATTAGAGGAGAACCCAGGAGAAAAACAAAAAGCCCTCCTCCAGGAGTAGAGTACTGTCAGGAAAAATTTCCTCAAGAACTGACCCCAAAGTCCTGAGGTGGGTCCCAATTTCACCCTTGAACATGCCTGGCAATGAGTAGGTACATCTAGAAACTACATTAAGTCTCCCAGACTTAATGAATGCCATTAAAATAGAGTTGAATGTGCTATGCTGTCTTTCATTTCTGAACAACGAAGCAAATCCTTGCAATCTGAAGGCTTCTCCCCTTGGCTTAGCTATCCACGCTGCCTGTCTTGGAGCTGAAGACTGGGCACTGTAGGTCAAGGAGCCGCATTTCCCATACCCGACTCTCCTCAATAACTTCAGGAAAAGGTCATCAAGGTCAAGTGGAGTCATTGCAGCTTCAGTTACTAATGGGCCTGGCTCCAGATCCCTTAAATCCCATAAAGTGCTATCACTTATTTCCATAGAGGGACATTACTTTTTGGGAGAAAATGGTTCCATTTCATGCCTAAAATGATAACAAAGCAAACAAAAGCAGAACTTCTATGTGTCTCCTGGATAGTGATAGGTTCTGGTACCCAAATAAGAAGACCTAGCAAAACCCAGAGATTCCCTGCTTAGATGAACTATCTACCATTCCTCCTCCGTTCAGTATTAACTGTGGAATCACTGCACAACTACAGAGTCCTTTACAGAGTGACCACAGGAAGCTGTGCATGGAGGAAGGGGGTGAGAATACACAGTCACTTGTGTTATTCCTGAAGAGACCCCAGGGATCTGTCCAGTTAGTCAGCAGCACATCTGGAAAGAATTCACCTGTCATGAACCCGGCTTGCTCAATAGCAAAATAAGTGAAAACACCACAAAATGCTCAATCATAGTGATCTTCTCAATTGCTCACACTAAAAGTTTTCCCACCTGAGCATCATAAATGAAACAAATTGCTTAATAGGATAATAAGAGTTGTTGCTGAAAGATGCAATCACAAAATAAAAGGACCTTTCAAAATCTGAATATAGTTGGTGATTATCCAGGAATGGCATGTAAAGAAGAGCAATTCCAAGGTTCCTGCTTCTTTGTGTTATCATGAAACTGAGATGGCCAAAGATTACTTTCAGTTACAACAGACCTTCCTCAGTCTTTGGCAACACCTCTATTCCTTTCTGGTAACTACGGTAATGTAGTACACCATCCAGTTTATCATTTTAATCTCAAATGCCACAATTCACAAAGTTGCTACTGGTGATATGATTCATGATATGATAAGATTCACAGCAGAAAAAAATAACAACTTGCAGTAAGTAGTCCTTTATACTTCAATTGTCATGGCGTGTATTTATCCGAATAAGATTTTTGCCTCATAAGAAATGCACCCTTCCGAAAAGAGTACTAGTAAAGCCTGGTTCTCTAATAAAAAATGCAAGACCTGAGAAAAATCAAATATATCTAGTTAAATATAAAATTACATTTATTGTCCCAAATAAAAAATGCATAATCTCAAATAAATAAGCCAAACAAAGTTGAGAGTCATTAAGTAGTTAATTCTTTACTTGTTACCAGTTCAAGAACATTAACCACAAAAACAATTAGAGCTGCAAACTTTAGAAACATTCAGATGAACTCAGTAGAAGAATTACAGTTGTTAGAGTTAGCCCTGGGTTTGAATAACATCACTAGGATGTTTTAGCTTTGAGACGTTGGAAATATTCATCTCTCTGAGCTTCCTCCTCTGCAAAATGAGGAAAGTACCTACCTCACTGGGAGAGGTTTTTGAGTTAAGAGAAATAGGTATACATAAAGCCCAACAATGGATAAAACAGAGGAGGCACTCCTCCACACAGCTAGTTCCCTATCCAAATTCTCTGCACATTAAATGGTAAAAAACATGTCCCCAACTTCTCAACCTTTGCTGTTTAACATATCAAATTCTTTCTGTGACAACACACCAAGCTCATTTTTAATTACAGTACTTCATAAGTCAATTCTCCTCTTCAGAAAAATTTGAATTTCTTATGCATTTCCAACCTTTCATTTTCATACTCTTTTGAACATACCATTGCCACCATCATTTCCCAAAGTAGTTCATAAGGGATGTGCAAGGGAGGAGTTGGACAAGGTACAGTGGGGTGGGGGGCCAAGGTACAATGGGGTGTTGGGACTTGAGTCTTTAAAGGCAGTAGTATCCCTAGCCAATTTGGCTCGGTGAATAGAGCATTGGCCTGCGGACCAAAGGGTCCCAGGTTGGATTCCGGTCAAGAGCACATACCTTGGTTGCAGGCTCCTCCCTAGCCTGGGCCCTGGTCGGGGTGCGTGCAGGAGGCAACCAATAAATGTGTTTTCTCACATTGATGTTTCTCTCTGTCTTTCCCTATCTCTTCCCCCCTCCCTAAAATCAATGGAAAAATATCCTCAGGTTAGAATTTAAAAAAAAAAAAAAGTGCCCTAACCAGTTTGGCTCAGTGGATAGAGCGTCAGCCTGCGGACTCAAGGGTCCCGGGTTCAATTCCAGTCAAGGGCATGTACCCTGGTTGCAGGCACATCCCCAGTAGGGAGTGTGCAGGAGGCAGCTGATCGATGTTTCTCTCTCGTCAATGTTTCTAACTCTCTATATCCCCCTCCCTTCTTCTCTGCAAAAAAATCAATAAAATATTTTTTTTTAAAGTAATAGTGGCATCTTGTTCAATTCTATTTTCTTAATTAATCAATAATAGTTTCTTCTTCAAAACAGGACATGCAACTGCATACCTAAGGAGCACATGCAACAGCAGATGACAACCAGAAACTCAGATGAACATTGCCAGTAATGGGTCAGAGGGAACATTGATAGGGAAATATAAGATGCTAATGGAGAGATGAACAAAAATAAAATACATGTTACATTCATATACTCAGAATTCCTTTGTAGTAAGACAAATGTCTAATGTCCAAATCTATTGTAAAAAAAGGCAAGATTAGAAACAATTATATCCTACATGTCTTATCATTTTGAAGGAATATGCTCTCCTTGCTAATGAAGATTAGAGATTTGAAAGGGAGCAAAGTAAGAAGTCTTATTCCTACCCTACAAGTAATTTATATAAGAATCAAAAGCATGAACTTCTCTGGTCCTCAGTTTTTTCATCTCTAAAAAGAAGGTACTGTTTAACAAAACTCAACCTAGGCAATACTCATCAGTAGAAGCTAAAACCACTTGATGGAAAAAAAAATGTTTTTAATAAAAAGAGGGAACTGGATCATGTTCTCTTTTAATTCCAAAACACTTGAATTTGGCTTGGGAGTAGTGCCCTCAATCACACCTAAGACTACCTGTGGCAGACCCTGTTCTTTGAGCTAAGGAACCCAAAACACAACCTCTATTTCCAACCTCCTCCTTCTGTACTGTCTCCATTCTAGATACCGGAAGAGCAAACATTCCCTTTGTAGCCTCCCTTGCAATGTGACAGTTCTGGCCAATGAAACAAAAGAGGGGGTGTGCTTGGTCCTATTTCTGGGATGAATACTGCTTTTCCTGATAAAAGTGACAGCCTCTTTCCCCTTATCTTCCATCCTTTCAGATACTGTGTTGATAGCTGCAGCTATCTTGTTACCACAAGAAAATGAAAAGCCAAGAGAAAAGAAGAGACACCTACCCTGATGCCTTTGAGCCAAAAAACCAATACCAGATGCAGTTGACACCAGGCTTGTTATATGATTAAAATAAATCCCTACTTATTTTGCCATTGTCAGTTTGTTTTTGTGTTTTGTTTTTCCACTTGTTGCCAAGCACATTCCTGATACACTGCTCACCAGATTCACTAGGCTTAGAGTGAATATTTCTGAAACCAAGAATGCAACAAAGCTCTTCAACTAAAAAATCTATACTAATAAAAGGGTAATATGCTAATTAGGGCGGATGTCCTTCTGGACAAAGCGGGGCCAGAGGGAAGCCGCTGGTCCCGGGTGCCTGCTGACGGGGCCAGAGCAAAGCCGCCCAGGTCCCAGGGTGAGCTGCGATCACATCTACAGTGCCCTGGACCAGAGAGCCCACAATATCAACCTGGCCAAGGTCACCCAGGGCAAGTGCTCCACCTCATCGTGACTGACCTGGTGGCCCAGGGCCTGGACATGTCGCTTCTGGACAACGCCATCAACTTTAGCTGCCCAGCCGAGGGCAAGCTCTTCCTGCACCAAGTGGGTAATGTGGCCGGGCTGGCCGAAGTGGCACAGCCTACTCCTTGGTGGCCCCAGATGAGGTCCCCAACCTGCTGAACCTGCACCTGTTCCTGGGCTATGCCGTCACCTTCGCCCGCCCCTACGAGGAGCCCTCAGATGTGGTAGGCGTGGACGGCATGCTGGGCCGGGTGCCAAAGAACATGGTGGACGATGGGGACTGAAGCCTGTGGAACACCCTGGAGGCATCACTGCAGCTGTGGGGCCTGGGCTGCAAAGGCTGACAACGCCCAGCAGCAGTATGTGCGCTGGCGGCCTGCGCCCTCACCAGAGTCCATCAAATGGGCCAAGGAGCTGGACCTCACGGGGCTGGGCCTGTACCTCCTCTTCAGCTTGAGCTTCGAGGAGGAGAAGCTTTAGCGGCTGAGGCTGGTGGACAACATCAAGCAGTACTGCTAGTGGGCGACCATCTTTGAGATCAATGCCTTCAGCCAGGATCTGAGCAGCCAGGTGATGCATCCAAGTGGCAGAAGGACTGCAAGGCCATCGCCAGCTTCCAGCAGGGCCAGGCAGGAGCGGAAGCTTGGGAAAGAGGAGGAGGAGGAAGAGGAGGAGAAGGAAGAGAAGGAGAAGGAGAGAGAGAGAGCATAGAGGACATCTTCACAGAGGCTGTGGGCCGGAAACAGCAGTAGCCAGGACCTGAGTGGGGAGCCAAGAAGTGGAAGGAGGAGGCCCGGCTGCTGGACCAGGATTTCTATGTTCCCTATGGGCCCAAGGACTTTGACAGTGAACAGGGCCTGAGCGTTGGTAAGGATAGAGGCGCCTTTGAGCAGCAGGTGGCTGGCACTCTCCTGGACCTGATGGGGGACAAGGCCCAGAACCTGACCAGGGGCCAGCAGCAGCTCAAGTGGGACCAGAAGAAGAAGCAGTTTGTGGGACACTCAGGACAGGAGGACAAGAAGATCAAGACAGAAAGTGGTCACTACATCAGCAGCTCCTACAAGTGGGACCTCTACCAGAAGTAGAAGCAGAAACAAAATCACCATAGGCTCAACGCCTGAGCCCCAGTGGGCCGCCAGCAGTTGGCCCTGTCGGAGGTGTTGTTTTGACTGGATCCAGTCAGGGCATGTGCAGAAGGCAACCAGTTGATGTGTCTTTCTCACAGCCATGTTTCCCTCTCTGTCTCTCGCCTTCCCTTCTACTTTAAAAATCAATGAAAAACGTCCTCAGGTGAGGATTAACAAAAAACAATATGCATACATACACACATATACAAAAATATATGGATATTGGGGGACTGGAGGGCAGGGCATCCTTCCAGACAAAGCCACGGTGGCAGGGGCCAAGAGAAGCAATTTGGGGTGACCAGGCCGGCAGGGGAGGACAGTTAGGGGGAAAGTTTAGAGGAAAAGAACATAAAAAGTGAAGTAAACTTCAGAATCCATTTATGTCATATTCTATAAAATCAACCCTTTGTCTGTTTTCATCTCAGGATTGAAATTTTGAACACCTGAACTCTCTAACCCTAAATAGGCAGCTGTCTAGCCTCTGCTCGAATTATGTATAATGATGAGGAATTCACTAGCTCTAGACAGAGCCCGTACTATCTTTGGACAATACTTTTAGAAAGGTCTTCCTTATATTAACCTGACATTTATATTTGTCTTCCTCTACCTTCTGAGAAATACAGAAGAGAATAGAATCTCTTTTATGAATGCGAGCCATCCAAATGGTTGAAAACAGTTGTCATATCACCTCATCTGCACAGTGATGTTCACCAATTCCTTCAACCTTTCCTCATGAATGAGGCAACAAATTCTAATGCTGCACCATCTAATAATGCCAGACAAAAAATGTAATTTTAAATTTTCTAGTAGCATAGTTGCCACATTTTTTTAAAGGGGGAAATTAATTTCAATAATATATTTTCTAATATGTCAAAAACATTAGTTCAACAAACACTCAAAATAAAATAAATAATGAGAGATTTTACATTTTTGCTACTGTCTTTGAACTCCACTATGCACTTCAGGGCATAACAATTTGTAGTAGTCACATTTTCATTGTTCAACAGCTGCATGTAGTAGAAACTACTGTATTGGATAGTCCAGGTCTAATGGAAGAACATATGCTCTTTTCTGTAGAGGAATAACAGGTAGTTAATCAGATAAATTGGCAAAATACTACAGTGCTAAGTTTCTCAATCTAGAGTACTGCACAGACCTATTTTGAAGGACTGCAAGGGGGAATTACATTTCATGGACCTCTGAGACTATGGCTTTGTACTTCCAGAGGTCAATGTTCCCCAAGTGAGAAACTCTCTTCAAAAGCAGCTTTTGTTTTTTAGCTTATCCTCAAAATAAAAACATACAAAAAATATTCTATTTTGTATAGAATTTGAGGAGCTCTAAGATCCCACTTTGAAAACACTGCTGGAGCAGAATCAGGTCTTTATTCTCACCTCAATTCTGCCATCGAATTAAATTATATATATATTTATATTTCCAGGCCACTTTCTCACTAAACAACACTGTTCTAAATATTCACAAACCATCCTTCTAATAATCCATTCTAGAATTATTTCTATAAGTAGTATAAAGTTCCCTCCCAGTCTATGGTTTTTTGAACCGTATTCCTCACTATTGGAAATCAGGATTGCACTTACCTACCTTCACAATTCCAACATTTTTCCACTCATCAAAATTTCGTAAAATAAAACTTAATAAATGATCTTTGAGTTTTTTCAGTGCCCTTGAATAGAGTTCTTCTGGATCAAAAATCTTAAACTCATTTTGAGCAACTACTAGACAGTCTTGTACAATATGTTCAACTTTCACAAGCTTTAATTTCATGTCACCAATAATTTTTCCTGTTCAGGATAACCATTCCTATCTTTTATTTACTCATTTTAAAAGTATTTGTTGGGAATCTACTGTATATGTGAACACAATAGAAATACAGGTAAGACATATGATAAGACAAGCAAAGGCAGTTTCTGCTTGCGAAGAGCTGACATTCTCATGATGAGTGAAAAACAAACAAGCTAATAAATAAACAGGAGAATTTCAGGTAGTAAAGATAGTAATACAGCTAACATTTGAGAGCATATTATATGCCAGATACCCTTCTAAATATTAGATAATTTAATCCTCATTATAACTCTATGAAATATATATAATATATTTCATATCAACCACATTGTATAGCTGAGAAAGTTGAGAAACAGAGAAATTGTGAGAGAGTTCCTGGTGTACTACTATAGTCTGGGAGGTCAAGAAAGGTCTCTCTGAGATCCTATGTGCTGGGTCTTGAATGAAGCACCAGCCACACACAGATCCAGAGGCAAAGTGTTCCACAGATCCAGGGCAGATTGTTCCAGAGAGAGGAAACACCAAGTGTGAAGGCCTTTGGATGGGATGAACTAGGCAGGATGCATGGCAGCGGGGAAGGGGGGAGGCTCTAGGAACACAAAGAAATAAAATGTAGCTGAAACATAAAGAGGGAGTAGACAGCAGTAGGAGGTGAAGTTGGAGAGGTGAGAGCAGGAGCCAATTTGTGATAATGATGAGTCTGTATTTTATTTTAAGTACAGTGAAAATCCATTGGAGTATTTTAAGCTGATGAATGACATGATCTGACTTATATTTTTAAAAGATTCCTGTAGCTGCTATGGGGAAATATAGGAGGAAAAAAAGAAATTAGAGAAAACAGGACAGAAAAAATGGAAGCCAAACAGCAGTTGAGTACTTCTAGCTTCTCTCTGCCATCTGTTAACAGTATAACATCAGCCCAGAGCAACAGGCTTGTTTCCCTTTGCTTCTTGGCCTGTTGCTTACTGATCCTGCTGATGAAGTCACTTGCTCTAGGTTACACTGAGAACCAGAGAAGAGTCCAGGACCACCCTTCAGATCCTTTGGCTTCTGATTCCAACCTCCAATCAAACAAGGGAACATATACAAACAATTGAAAGGTAAGAAAAGCAGAAAACAAGGGCAACACAGTCAGTGATCATCTTCAGCTGCTGCTCAATTAAACCCAAATTGTACACAGCACTTCTCTCTATAAACAATTCACAATTAAAAACCATGGGTTCAAATAATACTTGAAGTTCTGGAAGTTATCAAAGAATGCTCTATTTCGCTGACTGGTGTAGCTCAGTGACTGAGTATCAACCTATGAACCAGAAGGTCACAGTTCAATTCCCAGTCAGTGCACATACCCCAGGTGGAAGGAGGGAGGGAGGGAGGGGCTGGAGGCAGCCAATCAATGACAGTCTCTCATCATTGATGTTTCTATCTCTCTATCACTCTCCCTCTCAGAAATCAGTAGAGTGTTTGTTTGTTTGTTTGTTTGTTTAAAGAATGCTGAATTTCTCACTGAAAAGATTAATTATTCTAATGAATATCTAAGCATTCTGAGGTGGACTATCTGCAAACACTACCCACTAATTCCTCCTATCTGCTTACCTGCTACCTATCCCATCAAGTTGCGTTCACTTCTCTTCCTTTGAATATGGCTGGTCTTGTGACTCCCTCTGAGCAACAAAATGTAGCAGTTATGCTGTGCCAGTCCAAGATCTAGAGAGAAGTGGTATCTTCCATATTCACACACTTGTTACTGAGCCACTACGCTATAAAGAGGCTAGTCTAGATACTGGAGAAAATTCTCTTATTTTCATAAGAGAATGAAGGTGTCCCAGCCTATAGCTAACATAAGACATGTGGGTGAAGCTTTCTTGGACATTCCAGTCCCAGCCAAGCTCTAAAACTCAAAGCATCTGCTATATTAGTGATACTAGTCAACACCACATGGAAAAGAAGAACCATTCATTTGATCCTAGCCAACCCACAAAATTGTGGGAAATAATAAGCTGTTATTGTTTTAAGCCACTAAATTTTGGGGATAGTATGCTATGCAGCAATAGATAAGTTTTTAAAATATATTTTTATTGATTTCAGAGAGGAAGGGAGAGGGAAAGAGAGCTGTAAACATCAATGATGAGAGAGAATCATTGATTAGCTACCTCCTGCAGGCTCCCCCTGAGGATCGAACCCACAACCCAGGCGTGTGCCCTGATTGGGAATCCAACCATGACCTCCTGGTTCAGAGGCCAATACTCAACTACTGAGCCAAACTGGCTGGGCAGCAATAGATAACTTAAAAATGTGTGTATTGTTGATTCTGCAGGCCCTTTGTAAACATGAATGCAATGTGAAGATGCTAAACAGATCAAACCAATCAGAAAAAAACCCTAATGAAGATACTTCATTATTGTTTAGTTTCTTCAGGAATTTAGCATTGCTTCTTCTGATTTCTAGGCATATGTATTTATTTTACATTACAAGCTGAAGTACTGATTACTCATTTCAATTAAGTTTAACACATTTTTAGTAAGACTCTCTTATGTACTAACATGGGTAAATAAAAGCTAAACTAGACACAAGCTCTGACCTCTAAGAGTTTATATTCAAGGGAAAGAAATACATGTACACAAATACTTCCAGTTGAAGAAGAATGTGTTTATGTGATAATCAAATCATGTAAATATTAAGTACAATGGAGGAAAGGGATCATTCATGTGGAATTTCAATAGTTCAAGACAAAAAGCAGAATATTCCACATGGAAATATGAACAAGAACAAAGACAAAAAAGTGGAATATAGTACAGAGTATTTTTCAAAAAATGGCAAGTTTTCCTACAACTGAGACCAGGCATGACCTAGCTATTCTGGTCTGAATGAATCATCCCCTGTGTAAGCCCTATTATAATGTTTATCACATGGAGCAAGAAAGAGGGTGGTTTGAAGGGCCCAAGTTGTAAAATGAGAACCTGATGTCATGTGTTGAAAAAGATAATCTATAAATGTATCATGTACATTTTGATTCTCTTTTACTCTACTTTGCAGGCAGCCAGAAACATCATCTGTTCTCCACTTTGCAAAATCCTGCTCCTCTTTCTGGGTTCTTCATTCACTCATTTATTCATTCAACCATCTTTTATTGGGTACAAGCTATTTTCCAAACATTGTTCTAGGTGCTAAAAATACAATGATGAATAAGGCAGATAACAGTCCTTCCATCATGGAGATAAATAGTAAGGAGAGGTAGGAAGTAGATAGGGTGGGTGGTCAGAAAAGGCTTGAGGAAGGCATATTTGACCAGCGATCTATTGAAATGAGAAAGCTAACCATGGGGATATCTGGGGAAAGAGCATTCCAGGCAGAGGAAGAAACTAGTGCAAAGGTCTTGAAACACCTGCATATTCAAAGAAGGAGACTTACAAGTGAGGTTAAGGAGGTAGAAAAGGAGATGAAGCAGGGACCCAGGTCACACAGGTAATGGCCTATAACTTGGATTTTATGTTTTAAGTATAATGAAAAACCCATCTCCTTATACCCTTTCCCAGCCCCAACCCAGCCCCAATAGCTTCTACTGATCACTTCTTATACACATATCACCTATATTTTTATTTTCCACTCAGTCTACATTCCATTACATGGGTTTCTATTCATCTTTTATGCATCAGTCCAATTTCCTCAACTATGTCTCAAGATATAGGGCAAGAATTCTGTCTTACTATCTTTTGCATTCCCAGGTTCTGGTGCTCGATAAATCTTTTGTAAGGTGATAATGGTGATGCAATCCCTTCGAGTCCTTTCCAGCTGTAAGATCTGATTCCTTAGAACTCTTTTGACAAATTAGTTTGCACAATGACTTCAGAGGACTGACATCTTTCTTGATATTTTGAGATTTCACTCATGTACTTTTAGAGTTTTCATTCTTTAAATGACTTGAATGAATTACATCAGAGTTTTTGCTTAAATGAAGGTTGTACCACTTGGAATGGGGTCCCCTTACATGAAACTAAATATTAGTATCTGTACTTTAAGCCTCTTGAACCTCAGGAGAGACATAAATTGCTATGAAATAAATGCTATCCTGATATTATCCCACTGTCAGCCAATAAAGATGGCCTCAAATTCTTTGCTGTTTCTCCCAGTGAAATGTGGAGAATAATTCCCCTCCTCTGAGTCTGGGTTAATCATAATAAGTTATTTGAGAAATGGGGTTCTGGAACTTATGAAGCTATATAATAAGAAGCCTTGAGCCTTAAGGTTTCTATCCACACCTTTTGGGAATGGTCCCTCTAGATACCCAGTTGCCATGCTGTGAGTAACAAAAGCACACATGGAGAGATCACCTGTCGGTGCTCAGACCAGCAGGCCCAGCTGAGCACCTTCCCAAGAGCCAGCACCAACTGTCAGCCATCTCAGCCCAGGTCTCAGACATATGAGTGAAGAAGCAATCTTAGAAGCGGATCATCTAGCCCCAACTGCCTCAGCTGTGGATCAGACAAACCACCCAGTTCAGCCTTTCCCGAATTCCTAACCCAACAAAATCATGAGCAAAATAAAAGTTATTTTAATCTGCCAAGTTCTGGGTAAAAATGTTGTGGGATTTGGGGTTTGCTTCTTTGTTTTTTAGAGTGTAGAGAAGAAAAGAGAGATACAGATTCAGCGTGGTGGTAAGGCAGTAAGAATAGTAAGAAGCCAGGAAAATTCCTTGGCAAGTGGAACGGGGAAACTGAGATAGGCAGCTAATTCAAACTGGCCTCATCTAGCACCCTGAACCACCTGCCTCCTTCTCCCTTGCAGGACCACTCCCTTAAGCATTGAGCCCTCAGGACAATGAGGTTCTGATCAGCATCAAATAATCTTAGGAACAAAGCCTCAGGTCTATTGACCACAGAAACAGAGATTTGGTCATACTAGAGATAACATCTAGGCCTCAGTATTTTAGCTCCAGGCCTAGAAAATCAACAAGACAAAATGAAGCAAGGCAATGGATGGCATCAGGACCAGATGCAATGACCAATGATCCTAGCACTGACCAATCAGTAGAGACCACCACCCTGACCCATTTTGATGAATCAGCATATTAAAGGACACACTTGGAAAACTGATGAATATTCTATTGAGATCCTCCCCGTAGACCTCCCCTAAAATTCCCCCCTTTAGAAAACATATAAAAACCCTTAAGACAAAGGACCCAGTGCACACCCACACCTTCCTTCTTCGGGTGTATATCTTTGCTTTTTTTCTCCCAAGCTCTAAGAACCCTTCTTAAGCCTCTATTCCTTGTTTCTTGAGTCCACCCAGCCCAACTGGCTCACTTCTTCTGCCTCTATGACTTTCTTTCTAGAAAACCAAAGCAGCTCTCTGAGCAGCTCCCTTGAATTTTCTCTTTGAATGTCATGCTAAATAAACTTCCTCTTGTGCTAGAGTTCTTAGGTCTGAATTCTTTCTTTGCTAAAGTCAAGAACCGAGATTGCTACACCGAGGTCCAACGTTGCTGCTAACATCAGGACAATGTAAACAAGGCACTAAGAAGTCTGGAGGCAGGAAGACCCTGAAAAGGCTGAGATACTTCCCTCTCACAAGGGAAACTGCAGAGTTGAGCATCTTCATGCCATGCAGAGACACAGTCAAATATCACCTAAGATATAAGATTCTCAGTTTTCCCCAATGCCTATCACTATCAGGCCTACCAGCAGCACCAACCTGAAGCCAATTCAGGATGGCTTTTCTTAGTTAAGATAAGAAGTGGAATGAAAGTCTCTATCTCAACAAAAATCTGGAGAAATCTGGTGGGGCAGTTAATGAAGTCAGCCCTGGAAGGTGGGAGTTAGAGTGGTATTTTTCTTTCTCCCTAGGCCAGTTTCCTCACACCCAAGACTCCTTCCCCTAACTATCAAGCCCAAATCCAATGCCTAGACATCAAGATCATCTATCAACTCATTTCCTCTCTCTTACCTCTCTCTCTCTCTAACACAAGAATTCATTTGATCCAAACAATCTATTTGTTGTCCTTCCCCTCATAAAACTCACTCATTCAAGAACTGAATTTGTAAAAGACAGGTGCATAATTCAGGAAACAAAATGACATTGATGAGGATACTGAAGACAAAAAGAGGCCTGAATTTAGGAGAAAAAACTCATTCCATTTTCCATAATAGGTTTAACATTCTAGCAAGGCATCCTGGGAAGATATCTAGGAGGAAGCACTCAGCATCTGCTCTGTCTGGACTAACCTCTTCCCTAGTAATCAAGGATTGCCTGCCTCAAAAACTCAGCCACCCTAGGAGCATGCTCTACTTTACCCACCTTCCCATTATCAATCCTCATGCTGCATGCTATGGTGGAACTCCATTCACTGATAATTCTTATAGCCTGTTGTTAAATGTTCAGAAATTCACATGCATGCCACCCTCTCCTGCCATTTAGATTAAAACTCCTTGAAAGACAAGGGCTCTACCTTCTATTTCTGATGTAATCCTTTTGATGCCTTTTAGAGGCCACAGCACTTGGTGAACACTCAAAAGGTATTATTAACAAATGCCTGAGGGAATTAAGAAACCCAATATAGCCACACTTCTGAATAACAGAGAGAAAGAGCACAATGGCTATCTTGGGGAATGGGAAGAAATTCTTACCCTTGCTTGGCATTACCTGTCAGGTTTGTGTTTCAATGACAAATTATTTCCTTCAAAGAAGATAAAAAAACAAAGACAAGATTGGCTGGAGGGTGGGGGGCAGGCATAAAAATACACAAAATATCTAATGGATGGGAACAAAAAGCAAATGCTCATGACTACAAACCTTGCTTAACTTTTTTTGTGGTTAGTACTCAAATGCTAACATTATCTCATTGCCCCAATACTTAAAAATCTGGAGACTAAACCATGAGGAAACTGTAATTAAATCCTCCTGTGAGTATGCCGAGTACAAAGGAAATTCATCTGTTTGGTTTACCTAATCTTTCTCTCTTATGCACAATATTAGAAATGAAAGAAAAGGTTCGATGGCCCTGGTATGATAAACCTCTTCTGGCAAAATTAAATTCAAAAGAAATGGCAAAGATAATAACATTCTTTCACAGGAAAAGTCTGCCCTGAAGAAAGGCTTCTCCAGCTTTGACTCTCAAAACAATTTTAAAACTCAGCATTAGGTTTAATCTAGCACTCTGTTAAGCACCAAGAAAAGAAAGGTAAACAAAGCTGAGTCCTGTCAGGCAAAGCTATTTTCCAGCCTTTCTCACTCTTGAGTGGCCAGACTTTCTCTGTAAAGGCCACACAGTAAATATTTTTTAGGTTCTGTAGGACACAAGGTCTCAACTCTGCTGGTATAGTGTGAAAGCAGCCATAGAAAACATGTAAACAAATAAGTACAACTGTATTCCAATAAAACTTTATTTACAGACACTGAAATCTGAATTTCATATAATTTTCACGTCATGAAATATTATTCTTCTTTCATTTTGTTTTTGTTTCAACCCTTTAAAAATGAAAAATAAAACATTTTTAACTCACAGGCCCTATAAAAACAGGTATTGGACTGGATTCCACCCATAAGGAATTGACCTCTGCTTTACACGAAAAGCAAGATGGCAAGGTGACGAGAAAAATAGTCAAAATAACTTAGAAATCGTTCCATTTGTTTCTGAAAAGAGAAGGCTATTGTAGAAGAAAGAAGAAGGTAAATTTAAAAAAGGAATAAGGAATGTCCATGAGATATTAAGAAAAGTAGAGCCTGAGAAAGGAGAAACCCAAGCAAAAAGAGATGAAAGTTGGGGATGGGGGTAGCAGTAAAAAAAAGGGGGGGGGCAAGTCTCTAAGGCAGTTGTGGGAAATAAATGGGGCAATAGTTCAGGGGACTGGATGTAAAATAAACCAAAAATGCAGGTTCTTGGGGAAGCCCAGAATCTAAGAATCAAGGCTACTATGTGCACAAAATTATTCTCTTAGCAAAGTACAGTTCTGGAGTTAGAAGTCTGTTGGGGTATATGCATGCTGAAGAGGGTGATTTTCATTTTGTTTTATGCAATGTTCCTGGAAATATCAGCTCAAATGGGGCCAATCTTTAGTCTTAGAATTTAATCACCTCTTTAAAATTATTTGGCCCTGGACAGAGCTGGGTTTCTAGGGTTCAGTTTGCTGTACCCACTCCTATAACTAACCTGTACTTCCACAACTAGAATATTCAGCAATAAGAAAGGCAAGAAACACCTTCCCATGTGAAATTTCATTATTATAACAGTTACTAATAATGCTGACAAAATGAATTAATAACCAGACAGACAAGTTAGAAATTGCCTTAAACAGAGACCAGAACAAATTTTTAAGTATGAATGACTAATGGCTGGTCATTGGTTTAGTGTTCAACAAACACTAAATAGCAACCAGTAAGAAATGCCAAAAAAAAATCACTTTCATGGAAAGTTAAGAACTAAGGAGTTATTAACTGCTGGCTATCCAGGAAAAACTGAAAAATAAGATAAAATTTTTAAAAATTAATGATAACAGTGTAATGGGCTGAATTGTGCCTCCCCAAAATTCCTATGCTGAAGCCCTAACCCACCTTGGAATGTGAATGTATTTGGAGATGGGGGTCTTTAAAGCAGTAAATAAGTTAAAATGAGGCCATGAGGGTAGCCCTAACCCAATCTGATTGGTGTCCTCATAAAAGGAGATTAGGACACAGGAAGAGACACCAGAGATACTCACATGCAGAGGGATGACCAGGTGAAAAAACAGAAGGAGGGTGGCTATCTGCAAGCCAAGGAGGCCTCAGAAGAAACCAAGCATAATGACACTTGGATCTTGAATTTCCAACCTCCATAACTGTACGAAAATAAATTGCTGTGGTTTAAGCCACCTAGTCTTATTTATTTTATTATATTTTATTATAGTAACCTAACAAACTAATATAAATAGTTAAGGTGCTTGGAGATTAAGAGAAAAGTGAGGAGAGCAAATAAGGTCACCACGTATTCATTCATTCAACCAACATTTATTGGCCCCACTAGGTATCTGGCAATGTGCTAGGTTCTAAATATATAAGGATAAAAAATTAAGTTCTTGCCCTAAACAAACTCATAGTCTACTGAAGGACAAAATTCTACCATAATATGGATGTGCTATAAACAGATATATGCTCTTGGTGCTTTGGAAACAGAGGATTTTTTCAGCCAGCTATTAGGGGGTCATGCAAAGCTTCAAGAAAGAGGCAATATCTGGGCTACATTATTTAAAACAAAAAACACTTGACTTTAGGGGGGGAAATGTTTCTTCTGACTATTTGAGTAGGGGAATATATTACTTGAGCTGGAGAAAATAAATTGAGAAGGAGGAGGTTGGATCTGAGAGATGAGGTGTTTTATTTTGGCCATGCTGAGTTAAGGTACAGAGGACCAAAGTGAAGGTATCTAGTTGGGCTGAAGATAGAGATTTAGAGGCAGTTAGCAATGAGGTGGTCATCAAGCCATGGGTGCAGATGGGCTTTGCCCAAGGAGAATGGTGCCAGTGAGAGGATAAGAAGGATTTAACCCAACCTGGGAGAATACAAGTATTTAAAAGGTTAGCGGATGAGAGAAATAGCAGATGGAGAGACAAGAGGAAAACATGACCAAGGAAGGAGGCAACACCAAGAATGCAAGAGAGAGTGGCAATCTGAAAAATGTCCATGGATATAAACAAAGGTCACTGATGACTTCTGCAAAAACAGCTATAAGGGGCAGATGTCAAATGACCACAGCTTGAGAAGTAAATCACTGTTTAGATGGGAGGGCATTCATGAAAACCCAAGGAAATAAAAATTGCCAGAGTCATCTTCTGAGATTGAAGAGAGGGGAAGAGTCAGAAGACACACATATAGTTGCAACAAAAATGGTGGGCATAATGGGGAGGCTTTCATGCTGTCCTTCCCATCCTCTGGGAGCTATTTGAATACAGAGGGGAGAGGAAGGGGAGAAAAATGGCATTTATTGACTACCTAGGGCAGTGGTTCTCAACCTTCCTAATGCCGCAACCCTTTAATACAGTTCCTCATGTTGTGGTGACCCCCAACCATAAAATTATTTTCGTTGCTACTTCATAACTATAATTTTGCTACTGTTATGAATCGTAATGTAAATATCTGATATGCAAGATGTATTTTCATTGTTCGTGACCCACAGGTTGAGAACCGCTGATAGGGGGTAGCAGCTAATGCTAAAAATACTACCTACATTTACACAGCACATTATGTATTAAAAGATTCACCCACCTATCCTCTCATTTAACCTTAATAACTACTCTTGGAGATGAGCAAGAGGCAGCTTTGTTTTATAAATGAAGAAATTAAAATTTAAAGAAAGAAAACAAACCCAAAATAATGCACCTGAGAAGATAAAGGTAGAAGCAGAACTTCTACCTTAGTCTACACTCTTATCTCCAAAGACTTATAGAGCATTTTCATTGAAGCAAATGCTATGTGGCTCTAGGCTAGATCTCAGCTTTCTCATCTGAAAAATGGAAACAAAAATAATATCTATTTCACCCTATTGATAAATGTAAAGCATTTAAAGGGCCTGTCTTCAAATAAGTGCTCAATTAATGTGAGTCATTATTAGCTTAAATGCATAAACAGCATAAACTATGCACTAACCATTCACCCTGTGTATCCTGTTTGGTGAATTTGAATAGCTGTCTAAACCAGAAATCAGAGCATCAGCCTAGAATCCTCCTTCTCCCTCAGCCCAGAGCTCAGTCAAGTGATGAGTACTTTTAACCCAATGCTTTTTACCCTTATTTTCAATATTGTCTCCCTTAAAAAGACTTTTTGGACATTTTTCCCATAATTGCATCCCTCCCATTAAATTTTAAACTATAACATATATGATTATTTTCTGTAGCCCTTTGGAAGACCACAAACAATTGTAATAGCTAAGATTTTTTAACACCACTTCCCCAGAACCAATTTTGGCCCCTATGGGCCCATATCCCCCATTGAGAACTCATATACTAATTCTTCCTCCAAAATCTTTCTCAGTCCCGTTCCCCTTTTCTCTATCCTCAATGTCAGTGCCTGTCATCACCATGTTTCATCTGAATTATCCAACAGCTTCTAACTGGGTTCCTTGCCTCATTTTCACCAGCTTCCCATCCATATGTCACTATAGTGAGCTTTCTAAATGCAAGTCTGTTCATGTCACTCCCTTTCTCAAAATTCATCAGTTGTGCTCCATTTCCTGTTGGACCTTTACATGGCCCACATGAGCAATCCTGGGCTGGATCCCCCAGCCTTAGCTGCTGTCATCCCACGCCACCATGCTCACAGCACCTCCATGCCTTGGCACCTTCTGTTACCTCGCTTAGAATGCCCTTCCCCTTTGCCTTCCTAGTGAACTCCTACTTACCCTTCAACACTCAACAAAAGATATACACATTCTCTTTAAAGCCTTACCGATACTGTCTTCCCACAGGCCAAGTGGAGCCATCACTGTTCCTTTCACATACCTCTCTGTGTCACACTCTTCAGTCACATCAAATGATAATGAGGACAACTAACATTCAGTGAATGTTGAATAGATGCCTTACTCTGTTGTAAGCACTTCACATGTATCATCTCATTTATTTGGAGCACCTTTGAAGGTAGGGATCATACCTTATTAAGTTCTGCCCTGTTTAACTGGCACATAGTAAATATTAAATAAATGCTTGCAGGAAGCAAAGTTTTGCAGTTTCAGGTACTGTGCTCTTTCCAATGACTTATCTGTCACCTCCTCCTACTTCCTATAGTGGTTTATAGTAGCTACCCTAGTAACAAGAAGTGAGGAGGATGGGATATGATTATTCCACCAAAGGTTTTAACAGTTCCTTTGAAATACACTCTGATTAATTGAAAGGGTCATTAGAAATGCCTTTCTAATTGCAAGGGGGGAGGGGGAAATCTAATCTACTATCCAGAACACTTACATTTTTATAAATATAGTCCATTTGGAAGGATATAAATTTATTTTAAAAAGGCACAGGTAGAGGCTTAATCACCTACAGTCTAACTGCTTAGGAAAAATAATAAAGAGAAAAGATTCAGAGTCGTAATATTTAAAAGCATTTAAATAGGAGACATTGAAAAAAATCAGGTTATGTAATATCTAGTGAAACACTTTGAAATAGAATACTCATAGAAAACTCATAGAAAGATAAACAGAAAAGAAAAAGAAACAGCTGAGTGAAAAATATTCCTCATAGTTCCTTAAGAGTCATTTGGAGAAGGTCATTTAAGTCCAGTGCTCCCCACCCCAGCCTCTGCAAACTGAAATAGCAACTAGTCTTGGAAATAGCAACTAGCCTTGGTAATAATTTGAAAAGACTACTTCAAGATGATTCAGGAAGTTTTACTCTCTGGAGAAAAAAAAAATGTG